TGTAAAAAATATGTAGGTTATTGGGCCACACCAGAAAACAGATCCAACAGTTAGCAGCTTGACATTCAAAAGTTGGTGGCCTAACATTTGGTGGCACCTTACACCTATGTCAGACCTAGACCGCGACATGAGGGAGGCATACCAAAGTGACAAGGAGGGCATTGAGTTGTGTCGTTAGGCGGCGACACTCAACCCTTGCCCAAAGTTCGTATATGTTATTACCAATTCTATTATGTTTATATGATGTTGTTGACATTTTGAAATTATGCTCCATGTAGACAAATAATTCAAAGTTAAGTTTTTTTTGCCAATTTTGTTAACACTTCCAAATTTTGTTACAATTTGACAAATTGCAAATAGCAACAGTAGCAAGCTGCCTGTCAACAAAATTAGTCGTACGAAGCCGTTGCAAGATTTTAAAATGTTAAAATTGCTACAGTTTCCATAATTTTTTTTTTAAAATTTAATTTATATATATTATTGAATCATAGAGATGGATTCGCAACAAGAGAATGAGCAAGAACGGTGTACATATTGGAAAAGAATGTAGGTGTTTTTTTCTGCGTACAAAAGCTTTGAGTCTAATCGAAATAAAAGTCCTCTAATAAATCAGACGGTCAACAATTCAACTTGATTACATCAAAGTGGCATAAATGAGGAGGACAACATATTCGAATTTTTACATTTACAATTATTATTACTCATGAAGTTGTTAAAGATTATTTATCTAAATAATTTCATATTTATAAGGCCAAATCTATGTACAATGAACTCATGAAATCTACACTTCAATTGAAACACTATTAGAATATGTTGAGATATCAACCAAAATGGGTAATGAGTCTCAGAAGAAAATTAATTAAAGATTTAAAATTGGTACAATCTCTTCTCTTTCTGCTTTGGATTGAATAAGGCCTTGTTTGGTAACATCATTTTTTAACTTAAAAGCTAAAAAATCACTAAAAAAATCAAAAAAATCAATAATATATATCAAAAAGTCAAAAATTTCATTTTCTCTATACTTCTTGCATTTTTTTTTATATAAAAAATCAAATAGCCATCCCAAATATATTAATTTTTTTTACATCATATTTTAACCAAAAAATTAAAAAAATATTAAAAAAGTTTGTTCTCAAACGAAATCTAAATTTAGAAGAAGACTATCTCACCTTAATATCTTTGCAAAAATGGAGAGACCAACGAATAGGAAGGTTGAAAAGGAGCAACTAAATAAATGAAGGGCAAATTATATTGACACTTCTTGAGGTTTGGTTTAATTACTATCTATCTCTTGATGTTTTAAAAATTACATTCCCACATTTTGTGGTTAATAATTTTATTTCATAGACCTCCTGCTTATATAAAAAGTAACAACTCCTAATAGAAAAACATAAGAAATTACATTAAAAAAAGTAAAGGAAAGGAAAAAAAAGGAAAAAGAAAGTAAAGCAAAGCAAAAAGAGAGAGAATGTATAAGTTCAATATTTTTATTTCATCTAAATAATTATAATAACAGAGGAGTTAGTGTAATTTTTCAAACATTAAGAAATAATATATATTAAACTCAAATCTAAGAAGACGTAAGTGTAATTCACCCATAAATGAAAGAACAAACAAAGCAAATATTCAACTGTTACAAAGAAAATAGAGGACATCAATGAAGACAAAAGCCAAATGATTGAAAGCGAAATAGATTAGACAACCAAAGAAGATGATTGAGAAAAAAACAAAAGAAGGATTGGACGACTATGGCCTTATTTGTTATAATTTAAAAAAATTAAAATGTTATTATTTTATTTAAATTACATTATCTTATTTAAATAATATTACTTTTTTACTACACAAAATGATTGAAAGCGAAATAGATTAGACAACCAAAGAAGATGATTGAGAAAAAAAAAAAAAGGATTGGACGACTGTGGCCTTATTTGTTATAATTTAAAAAAATTAAAATATTATTATTTTATTTAAATCACATTATCTTATGTAAATAATATTACTTTTTTACTACATCACTTTAGACTTAATCTATATCCAACACTAGGGGTGTTCGCGGATCGATTTTGTGCGGTTTGCGGTTCGGTTTTGACCTGCCCGCATCTATGCGGTTTGGAAAAAATTCAACCCGCAACCGCCCGCAGTGCGGTTTGCAGTTTGTGCGGATAGGGTTTGCAAATGTGCGGGCGGTTGAGGGCGGTTTGCGGTTTACACCTTTTTCTTTAAAAATTAATTTTTGAGTTTTTTTTCCCAGCGAATTTAGGCATCAGATTCATTTTATATATTTGTGATAACAATTTTTTGATGAGTTTACAAATAAAAATTGAATATCAATGCATTAAATGAAAGTACCCAAAACAAAGAGACCTTACACTAGCATTTTTGCCATGAAAAAAATGTATATCAATGCATTAAAGGTTGTACTCAATTAGAATTGCCAGTTCAGTAATCAATAATCAAACTATAAGTTCTATCGACCATTAGAAGGAAAATTTTATTAGGAAAAAGTGGATGAATCACCAATGAAAATCATATAAGAAACCAAGTTTAGGACTTAATAATTCTACAGCATTAAGAAAGTTGAGAAATACTTAAAAATAAGGATCCTAGTGTCATAGAGAATATAATGGTGCTCCTGTAAAAGTTACAAAGTTGGTATATAAAAAAAAAAATAATAATAATAATTAAAGTGCAGGCGGTTTTTGCGGGTTGCGGGTTTAAACCGCGACCCGCCCGCAACCCGTAAATTTGTCATATTTCAAACTGCATCCACCCGCATTATGTTTGCGAAACCGCCAATTTATATGCGGGTTAGGCGGATTGGGCGGTTTGAGCGGTTCGGATAAACCGTTACCCACCCCTATCCAACACATATAAAAAAATATACTTATTTAAATCAATCTAAACTATCTTAATATTTCTGCCCAAAGTGAATGTTGCAACGGAGAGAAAACAAAGATTAAAGAAAATGATAATGGACCAAATGTCTTCAAAAGTAAAAAGGTATTTGAAGAATATAGAGTGGGTGTTTGGGAAATTATTTTGTGTTTGAGAAAATGATTGAATTTTTTTATAATTAAATATGATATTTATAAAAGAAAAAATAAAATAATTATAAGTTTAATATTTTATCTTATTAATTATTTTAACTTATTTTATTTTTTTGTGAATTTTAATTTAAAAAGAATTAAAACTTTCTTTCCAAACACCCTTATTATTAGGTTAAAAACTATTATAGAAGACTTACGTTGCACTGATTCTCTACCATGGGACTTGTAAATGTCACAAAATAAAATGATAAAAGGTAAGGGGTAATAAATACCAGTATCATTTGTCAAAAGAAATTAAAATTAAATAAACAAACATATCATTTTTTTAGATAGAAAATATTTTTATATTCAACAAACAATTAGTATGTTTAAATAAAAAATATATTTTTTATTTTTAAAAGATAAAAATATTTTTAAATTAAAATCGTATTAATGTCATCATAGCTACTATTACCACTATCACTATTATCACCAAACATATAAAAATATTTTTTAAAAAATACTATCACCTCCACTACCAACCCACCACCGTTACCTCCATGGCCCCGTTTGATAGAATTGTAAAAAAATGATTATACATTATACCTTAACAGATTATAACTTATAACTGTGAACATAAGCTGTTAACCTGTTTAGTACGGCTGTGAGATTATGGATTTGAGTAGTAGAATAGTGTTTGATTGATAAGTTGTAAAATAACTTTTTACTGTTTAATTGTCCTTTACCTTTATATGATATAAAAATGATTATTTTGTCATTTTTTCAGTTTTAATTTTAAATAAATTATTTCATTAATAAAAGTTAATATAATTAGTATAATAAAAATTATTATGTTCATTAATAGAATGAATTAGTATAAAATTATTTCATTTTTTCATTATAAATTAATTAGTGTCAATTAATGAATTAATTAGCATCAATTAATACTAAAATTATTAATTAGTATCAATTAATATAAAATTTATTTCATTAATGGCTAAATTTATTTCATTTTTTTGGATTAATATCAATTTTTATTTTTTTATTTTTTTTTGTTTAACGATACCAAATTTTTTGGTATCAATATAAAATTCTTTTATTAGAAGTTATTTAATTAAAATAAATTTATATCAATATTAATTGAAATAAATTGAGCAATTTATTTCTTTATTTAAATTGTGTGAATTTTAGTGTCAATAAATTGTTGGGTACGGGCCGGAGATGACTCGCCGTCACCGTCACTGACCTAGCCACCGCCGAAACAACGTCGGAGATGCGAGAGAGAAAGAAAGAGAGAGATCACGAAGAGAGAAGAGAAGAGAGAGAGAGAGCTCTGATTTAACCAGATCGCGATGGCGGTGGTGACAGAGAGATAGTTTCAGATCGTTAGAGAGAGCGAGATAAGAGATGAGAGATCGCGAAAATAGAGAGAAGAGATAGCGAAAGAGAACTCTAGTTTGCCTTCCCTGGAAATCACTCTTGCTGGAAAATATCTGCCATAAATCGCCACTCTCTCTCTCAAGTGAGCAATAAACAGTGTTTTGCGAAATAGGATTTATATAGTTGGGTATTGACAAAGGCATTTAAGTAATTTTAGTCCCCCTTTACCAGCTACCCGGCTAAGTTAAATTTGGTTAAGCATCCTCCAAGCTGCTTTGGAAAATAAACTAAAAATAACTTCACTTAAGCTATAAATTATTTTGGTAAACTGTGTCAAATACTCTAAAATAACTTCATATAAACTAAAAGCTTAAATAAACTATTTATAAGCTGTGCCAAATAGGCACGTATCTATACTTACACTTCCATCGTTGTCTCACATCATCACCAAATCAAGAAAAATAATTTAAGAGGAAAAAAAAAAAATTCTAGAAAGCATTTTTGTAAGGGAAAAATGACTGGTGGGCCGGGTCGAATGGTTAACCCGTCCCGACCAAGGTTGTTTTATCCACAACCACAACGCCCCCAAGCTCCACGTGTCCTTCTTCATTCAAACACAGCTTCCCCAATTTCACTCTCCAATCCAAGCTCTCTCTCATCTCAGTCTCACAGTGACCGTTCCATTCCACTGAAACAACCAAAAAAAACTCATCTTTTCTTCACCTCCAAAATTCAACCAATTCAATCACAATCTTCTCTCTCATGCGAACCTAACACCCAAACAAAAATGAGCTCATCATCACACTTAATCTCCATTCCCAACCCTCCCACTCTCTCTCCCCCAATCCTCCCTCCAAACCCAAACCACAATTTCCCAAAAAAACTCGAATTCTCCGGCCGCGGCCGCCGGAGACTCCTCAGCTCCGGCACCGGAAGAGTCCGAGCCAAAGCCAAAGATCTCGTCCTTGGAAACCCCTCGGTCACAGTCGAAAAGGGAAAATACAGCTATGATGTCGAAACCCTAATCAACAAGCTCTCGAGCTTGCCTCCTCGAGGAAGCATCGCTCGCTGCCTCGATTCCTTCAAGAACAAGCTCAGCCTCAGCGATTTCGCTCTCGTCTTCAAAGAATTCGCATCTCGCGGCGATTGGCAACGATCGCTCCGACTCTTCAAGTATATGCAGCGCCAAATCTGGTGTAAACCTAACGAACACATCTACACTATCATGATTGGTGTGCTTGGGCGTGAAGGCTTGCTCGAGAAATGCTCCGAGGTGTTCGACGAAATGCCTAGCCAAGGAGTGCCTCGCAGTGTCTTCTCTTTCACAGCTATAATCAATGCCTATGGCCGAAACGGTCAGTTCGAGACTTCTTTGGAGCTTCTGGGGAGGATGAAGAAGGAGAGAGTTTCGCCCAGTAGTTTGACTTACAATACAGTGATCAATGCTTGTGCGAGAGGTGGATATGATTGGGAAGGCTTGTTGGGTTTGTTTGCTGAAATGCGACACGAAGGTATACAACCCGATCTTGTCACTTATAATACACTGCTTAATGCTTGTGCGAATAGGGGTTTAGCTGATGAGGCAGAGAAGGTTTTTAGGACTATGAATGAGGGTGGTGTTTTGCCTGATATTACTACTTATAGTTATTTGGTTCAGACATTTGGGTCCTTGGGTAGGTTAGAGAAGGTTTCTGAACTTCTACGTGAGATGGAGTCCGGTGGGAATTTGCCGGAGATATCATCTTATAATGTGTTATTAGAGGCTTATGCGCATTCGGGATCGATTAAAGAGGCAATGGGAGTGTTTAGGCAAATGCAAGAAGCGGGTTGCACGCCAAATGTGTCTACTTATAGTATTTTGTTGAATTTGTATGGGAAGCACGGGAGGTATGATGATGTTCGTGAACTTTTTCTTGAGATGAAAGTGAGTAATACAGAGCCCGATTCTGCTACTTACAATATTCTCATACAGGTTTTTGGGGAAGGTGGGTATTTTAAGGAGGTAGTGACTTTGTTCGACGATATGGTTGAGGAGAGTATTGAACCAAATATGGAGACTTATGAGGGATTGATATTTGCTTGCGGAAAGGGAGGGCTTCATGAGGATGCAAAGAAAATTTTACTTCATATAAATGAGAAAAGGTTAGTGCCAAGTTCAAAGGCATACACATGGGTTATTGAAGCATTTGGACAGGCTGCATTGTATGAGGAAGCTCTTGTTGCCTTTAATACAATGAATGAAGTGGGAAGCAAGCCAACCGTAGAAACTTTCAACTCTTTGATTCACACATTTGCAAGAGGGGGGCTTTACAAGGAGTCTGAAGCGATATTCTGGAGAATGGGTGAGTGTGGTATCATGCAGAACAGTGATTCGTTCAATGGTATCATTGAAGGATTTAGACAAGGGGGCCAATTTGAAGAAGCTATAAAAGCTTATGTTGAGATGGAAAAGGCCAGATGTGATCCTGATGAGCGTACCCTTGAGGCAGTGTTGAGTGTTTACTGCTTTGCAGATCTTATTGATGAAAGTGAGGAACAGTTTCAGGAAATTAAAGCATTGGGCATATTGCCCAGTGTCATGTGCTACTGCATGATGCTGGCAGTTTATGCAAGGGGTGACAGGTCAGGATTAATTCAGTTATAACAGATGGTCATCCTTTCTTAATCTGCCGATTTGTTTTTATACTTGTGGTTCTGTTCTGTTGTTTTGTTTGTGATTCACTATATTAGAAAAATCATCAATTCCTTGACTTTGATGTAACTTCAACCCAGGATCTTGGTAGCTAGAAAACACTAATACCCTACTCTAGTTTTCTTCTTTATGAGTACAAAATTTGTGCGTACTTGTACCACGCCCGACATATGGTGAGCCCCTCAAGCGCTATGTCATCATTGCCTTACCCGCTTGGTAGACCTACAAGGCATCATGATGTCCTCATACAGGATAAATAGGGTTCTATGCCTAACCTAAGCAGGGGCATATGCACCACCAAATGTAGAATACTTAGCTCACTAGCACGATTGCAACCCCAATGGGTAGGAGCCCAAGAGCAAATGAGTCAAGTGTGAAGAGTCGGACAGTGGAGCTAGGCTCACCTGGCAGCACCATGGCTCGCTCGGAGACCATGGTTCTTCATACGTTATTTAGGAGGGAATGCATGACATGATTCCCTCCTTACTCATTACACGCCCATTAGCAGCATAGCTAGGCCCATGGCTTGCCTATGTTCACTAGGCTGCATAGGTAGAGCCTTTGGCTTGCTCATGTGCTTGCTCATTTTATCACTTGGCTGCTTGGGTTGGGAGTAGGACCCAAGCATCCAACTGGAGATCATTGGAAGATTGTGGATTGGAGGCTAAGGCCACGAGATTGTCAAGCCCCGTTTGTTTGAGTGAGGGGATTGTTAGTACGGTAGGATTGATTGAGGAGAGTACTAGTGTGGTGATATTAAGGTGGATATGTAAAATAAATTGTGTTGGTTTGTGAATTAAATAGTGATATTAGTTGGTTGGGATTAAATTTATGAAATTAAGTAAAAATCCTTGTTATATAGAAGGTGACTTTGTTATTTTTGTAAAGTGATGGGAAAGATAATATTTTTATCTCCAATCTCATGGGATTAGATTTCAATACCACCTCTCCCATGAGATTGCTAATCCTCTCCTTGGAGGGGTTTCATGGTCCCATGGGACTATTAATCCCATAGCAATTTTCCAAAACAAACATGATTTTTGTGGACCCACCTTACTACTAATTCAATCCCGTCCTTCATCTCTAAAAATAAACATGGCCTCAAGGTTTGCTTGGCTATCTTCCTGCTATGATAGCGCCACTTTGACCAGGCTTAAAGAGAGGTGATGTTGACCTTACACTCATGTCTTTTCATGCATGATACGTTGCCCAAGATATCATACCTACTAGCCTAAATCACAAATGTTAGTGGGGCTGATATCAACTCCTTGTTGAGTTGAGGAGAGCTCTTACACTCACGCCTTTGCATGCATGATATGCTGCCTAAGATATCATACCTACCATCCTGAATCACAAATGGCGGTAGGGCTGATATCAGCTCCTTGTTGAGTTGAGAAGAGCTCGCCACCTATCTAACAAGTTGCTTGGACTTCAATACTCCAGGAGTCTATATAACATATGAGTACGATAGCTAATAATAACAACTAAGGGTGTTTACGGGTCAGGTCGAATCGGTTTTATTACTAAACCGTCACTTGACCTGACCACTACGGGTGAGAGAAACTTACATCTGATTTTGACCCAAGCATTGTTCGAAACCGGAGATATCGGGCCATGTAATTTGTCGGTCGGTTCAGTCGAGTTATCGGATTATCTTTCTATCTGGACTGCGTTTGTCCTCTTCCTCAAAACACATACAGATTTAAGAGAGCAAGAAAGTGAGAGGCCTGTTGTTGTGGAGTGCTGATGTTTGATCTAGCACAGGCCATGAGCATCAATACATTGAGATCTGGAAGGTTGCTGTTGATGGGGAGGGGTTTAGAGAGGGTGAAATGGGAAACATTAAGGGAACGAGGGAGAGGGAGAGGGAGAGGGAGAGTCATCGCAGATCTGCGAAAATTATGGAGATAGAGCATGTTAACAACATAATCACATATACAGACCACTATTATATATACTGCACGGATTCATATAATGTTATGTATGGGTGTGGATAGTGTTGTGATGATGATATGTATGTTATTATATTTTATCTCATGTATGTATGTATAGAAAAATATGTATGTTATTATATTTTATCACATGCATGTATGTATGAAACATATATAATTATTCACCTATACTACTATGCTATAAGCTTAGGTATTTATGGGTCTACTTTCTTGCATTTGAAAATGTGAGAAGTTGAAAGGATTTGACATGTTTTTCAAGACAAGTGCTCCTTTTTCCCATATCTATATTATTATAATCTTATGTTTGTTAAAGAATGCAGGCTTTTAAAGAGGTATCACGTGAAGGTAATTTCTTTTATCAGAGAATTTTTGGTCGGTTCGGATTTAATCGGTTTTGAAATATAAGAATCGTTGACCGACCGTAATACTCGCGGATTTGCCATATTACACCCAAGCTGACCCATCAGGTTTTTCGAAACCGACAATAATCAATTGGTTTGGTTCGGATTGGTCGGTTTCATCGAGTGATTCGGTTTTTTGAACACCCCTAATAACAACACATCTATTACAATCATAGTTGTCAAATTGGGATTCATATCGTGAATTGAAATGGCTTTGTACCGAATCGCGAATTGAATCAAGTCGTGATTCGTAAAGATTCGGCCACTTTTTTTGAATTATTTAAAAATATATATCTATACATTTAGATGTTAAATATGTCTGGTGAATATGAAATATTTAAAGGTTGTTTGGAATAAACTAAATAAGTGCACTTTTTGATTTTTTATGAAATATGGGTTGGGTATGGGTTAGGTTTGAAGTGATGTGGTAGAGAATTGATGTGTTTTAAATAAGATGATGTAACTTAAATAGGATAGTGACTTTTTAACTTTTTGACTTTTTTAGGTTATGCCAAACTAAGCTTTAGACTTAAATCAATGAAAATGTTATTTTGAATGATAATCACTTAGTTTGATAGGTAAGAAGTTAATAAAGGTTCCTATGTAAGATCATCATCTTACCTTTTTTCTTTTTTAGATATTTCTTATCAATCATTTTTAATAAAGATAATAACTAAATAGACAAACTATCAATTTTTAAAGTAACAATAATTAATAACGATATTGATATTTGGGCCATAAGCATACATACTTTTCTGAGTAATAGTGAGCAAATAATAAGAAAGAATTATTTAGAATCTTTTATTTTAAAGCCTAAAGTATTTAAAAAGGTATAACTGACCTCACACATGCAATATTTAATTATATTCAATTTAATAAAATAGCAATAGATAATTCATAGTGCAATTTTAATCTTAAACATCTTTAGAAGATATATTATGATTTTTTAAAGGAAAAAAAAATGAGAAGAAAGGTTAAAGACATGTTTGGTCTGACTGAATATGATTGGATTCTATTAAAAACTCCATAATCACTAAAATAATAACAAATCATATATATGCGTTGGTTGTTTTGGTATTAAACGCTATTAGAAGTTGTATAATATCATTTTCACTAAAAAGATGGTGAAAAAAAGAGCCCAAAATATGTAGGGTACAATAATTTCAAAAATTGCACGAATCTTAAAAAGTGGATCGAATCGTGAATCAATTGTGAATCATGCGATTCACTGGAGATTCACTTCCAAAATAGATTCACCCATAAATTTGTATCGATTTTGCAAAAATTGCGAATCGAGTCGTGAATCAAATCGCGAATCGTAAGATTCTAATAACAGAGATCACAATACACAAACCGTAAGTGTTCAATGTCTCTCAATGCCACCCTCTCTATCTCTAAGCTTATCTTGGTCTTCTCCTCTTTTTCCTTCGGTGATCTCGAGCCATTGAAGTGCCTACCATCTTCCCAGAAGCCCACAACGACCACCTCTAACCTCAAATACCCACAATTATTTATCAATAATCGTCAATTGCTTGATGTAAATCAATCTTGCACAATTTTTCCAGTAGTCTTCTTTCTATCAATTTACTTTGGGAAAAAATAAATTGAATTCTAAAAGAGTTTTTTTAAAAAAAATATCTAACAAAAGGGTCATATCATAGTTCACTTATGGCTCAACTTACAGTAGATACACCAAGTTTTATGTTTTTATAATCTCTCTTCCAAATATAACATATTTCCTAAAGTTGAAAGTCTAGCATGCGTCCTTGAGTATGAAAGTATATATATCTTACATGCAATCATCTATTATTTATAGATTTGACTGTCGCATCTAGAGATACCTCAACACATCCCAACTATGAGATCTATATAATATAAGCCTATACCAGATTCTCATGCTGTCCTATCATTGTACCAGTTAATGTAAGCCTCGGGTTACTTTTTTGGTGCAATTTTAGAAGATTATTTGTAAGGCTGTAAAGCTGCATAAAAGATTAAATCATCTCTGATATATAACTAAACCCATTGCAATCATTTGAATAGATGTCCGAACTAGGCATTATTGGGTCTGAATCCTCCAAAATATCCATCAAGCAATCTTTAATATTTAGGTTGACAGAATTTTGAAACACTTTAAACTTGTAACTTCTGTATTTCATCTTGTCAAGTCACCAGGTGCTCTGTTTGCTTGCTTTTGTTGCGCATGTTGAAGGTACTTCTATTGTTACTGACCTAGAAAAGACCAGCTACTGAAAATTGAGTGTTACACTTGTATTTGAGCAATGGGTTAGACTAATGAGCATGACATCTCTATACCCCCTATGTCTAAATGGGTTCGACCAATATTCTTGAAGGAATCCTTTAGCTATTAATCTAGCTTTGTATCTCTCTACCAAGCTATCTGCTTTATGTTGGATCTTGTAAATCCACTTGCAGCTTTTTCAACATTGGTGAGCCGTTTCTTTGAACTTTTTGCAATTAGGTGTTATCCCACAAACAATAACCACACTAGGAGGTAACACAATTAAATCTCTTGAAAGACAAAAAAATTGTCGTACTTCTAAATTTTGATGAGTGTTCCATCTAGATCTTTTGCCCGTGCTTCCCAAACACTACCATCTCATGTGTCCAATGCTATTCTATCTAAGAGGACATCATTGTTTTTATATGTTCATGTTTGCATGTATCAATGTGAATTTATTAATGTTGTGTGGATGAGATCAAGATTCAAGACTCGATTACCTACTTGAGAAATTTTGTGTTTTTGGCTAACCATTTCCACCTGTCTACAAAAACTCTTCACCACATGAATTTTATTTGTCAAGTTGAAGATTTTAGGTTTTCCTCTACACCACTAGACTCCACTTACATAGGACAAATCTCTAGAAGACCACAGCATTTCTTAAGTTCTTTAAAAACTGCAGAATATCTTAGCAACTAGATCTACATTTCTTTCATTGAGAGGCTTGAGACAGATCAATTAAGCTTTGCTTCGCGCATGATAGCAGGGAAGGAAGTTGCTCGCTAATGCACCTCACCTCTGTCGATGCACTATGAGAAAAGAGTCTTAGGAGGTTGGTAGCATTTCTTTTAATATATTTCTTTTATGGGAAGGGTAAACTGTATCATGCAATGATGAGCCTCGAACTTGGGCATCATGCCCAGTAAGGAAGCGCTTCACCCGCTAAGCCAACGCCTTGATCTCAGCACAATTCCTTTCAAGATATGAAATTTTTTGACTTTTAAGCATAGTTGTCAAATCGAGATTCGAATCTTGAATCAAAATAGCCTCGTATCGAATTGCGAATCAAATCGAATTGTGAATCATAAAGATTCGGTCACTTATTCTAAATTACTTAGATAAATATATCTACACACTTGGATGCTAAACATATCTTATGAATATGAAACATTTAGACTTAAATCAATAAAATTGTTGTTCTGAAGGATGATCACGTAGTTTAATAAGTAACAAATTAATAAAGGTTCCTATGTAAGATCACTATCTTTTTTTTTTTCTTTTTAGGTATTTCTTATCAACCATTCTTAATAAAGACAGTAAATAAAAACAAACTATCAATTTTCAAAGTAACAATATTTTGACCATATTGAAATTTGGACAATAAGTATACGTACTTTTCCTAGTAACAATGATCAAATAATAAGAAAGAATTATTTGATAAACTGTATCATGCAATGATGAGCCTCGAACTTGGGCATCATGCCCAGTAAGGAAGCGCTTCACCCGCTAAGCCAACGCCTTGATCTCAGCACAATTCCTTTCAAGATATGAAATTTTTTGACTTTTAAGCATAGTTGTCAAATCGAGATTCGAATCTTGAATCAAAATAGCCTCGTATCGAATTGCGAATCAAATCGAATTGTGAATCATAAAGATTCGGTCACTTATTCTAAATTACTTAGATAAATATATCTACACACTTGGATGTTAAATATATCTTATGAATATGAAACATGTAGACTTAAATCAATGAAATTGTTGTTCTGAATGATGATCACGTAGTTTAATAAGTAACAAAATAATAAAGGTTCCTATGTAAGATCACTATCTTTTTTTTTTTTTTGAGATATTTCTTATCAACCATTCTTAATAAAGACAGTAAATAAAAACAAACTATCAATTTTCAAAGTAACAATATTTTGACCATATTGAAATTTAGACAATAAGTATACGTACTTTTCCTAGTAACAATGATCAAATAATAAGAAAGAATTATTTGGAATATTTTATTTTAAAGCTTAAAACATTTTAAAATGTATAATTGACTTCACCCATAAAATATTCAACTATATTTAATTTAATAAAATAGCAATAGATAATTCATGATATAAGTTACTTTAATTTTAAACATTTTTAGAAGATATATTTTGATTTTTAAAAGAAAAAAATGAGAAGAAAAATTAAAAACATATTGAGTCTGACTGAATCTAATTGGATTTTATTAAAAACTCCATGATCACTAAAATAATAACAAATCATGTATACATATTGGTTATTTTGGTATTAAATGCTATTAGAATTTGTATTATGTCATTTTCACAAGATGGAGAAAAAAGAGTCGAAAATATGTTGGACCCAATAGTTTCAAAAATTACATGAATCGTAAGTGAATCGAATCATGAATCGATTGTGAATCTTGCAATTCACTAGAGATTCACTTTCAAAATGGATTCATCTATAGATTTGTATCGATTTTGTAAAAATTGGGAATCGAATCGCAAATCGTAAGATTCTGATAATATAGCTTTTAAAGGTTTTAGACTTCGATGTTTATAGAACAATAGATTTTGATGAATGAGTCACAAGGTCTATTGAAGACATGTGCAGTGTTCATTGTTAGAATTTCCCTCATGTGATGAGCTGGTCCCAAGTAGTTCAGATTTGCAGTGTTTTTGAGTTTCCTAAGGTTGTTAGTAAAAATTTTGTTGAGATTGGCAGTTACGAGTAGTGAGAGTTTGCTTTTGAAGGTGTGCTAGGAGGAGATGATGGCTAAGAAGATGTTTCTTTTTTTTTTTCTTTTGTCGTTTCCCCGTTTCGTTTTCTTTCTTAACATGTATGGTCAAGAAGATGTTTCAGGCTGGGAAAATGATTATAATTTATGCAACTTCATAAAACCTGTGGTATTGTATTGTATGAGGATAGAGAGTTTGTCTAGCCAAATGCCAGTTGGCTTGGCAGAGCCTTCTGCTCTTGGTCAAAGGTGCAGGAGCTTCATGATTAAAATTTTGCTCCTAATAATAATGAGTAAATGAGTTGCCTGGGTGAGTAGTTTCTTTTACAATACAAGAATAGGTAGTATTTGTTGACAAAACAGTGCTGAAATTTTCTATTCAAGTTGCAAAATTTCTAGATAGATAACATTGTGAGAATATTTGTTGTACTTAATTTCCCCCTCTGCACATGACTGACCGAAATTAAAATCATGGCTTCTTTCTTGACAACATCAATAGAACAGTCCTCATTCACCTTACTTTTTACTGCAATAGTTCCATCAATATAGTGTTTGGAACAAATCCAGATGTTGGAGTAAATGCAGTGCAGTTTGGAGTTGAAATGGAGCCATCTCTGGTAGTTTGATGGATTATTATTGTTTTACTGCATAGAAATTTCTTTGTGAGCTTTAAACACTATGCCGAACTTTTTGGCTCTTTAGAACCAAAACATTAATTAGATTTTGAAAAGGTCTAAATATTCAACTTTGGTTGCATGTTGGTTGCTCTAGTTGTGGAATGAATTGGAGTTTTGTGGATTTTAAGATAGTTTCTCTTTCATCATCTGCCTGTTTGTGAATTCACCCCATATCCTGGCATCCTTATTTTCAGGTGGGATGATGCCTATAAATTGCTGGATGAGATGTTGACAAATAGGGCATCCAATATTCATCAAGTGATTGGGAAGATGATCAAGGGAGATTATGATGATGACTCGAACTGGCAGATGGTAGAGTATGTGTTTGACAAACTCAAGTCTGAAGGGTGTGGTTTGGGGATAAGGTTCTACAACACACTACTAGAAGCACTTTGGTGGCTGGGGCAGAAAGAACGGGGTGCCAGAGTTCTCAATGAAGCAACAAAGCGGGGGCTTTTTCCGGAGTTGTTTCGTAAGAACAAACTTGTGTGGTCTGTAGATGTACACAGGTATGATGAACATTTTTCAATCATCCATTGCTCTTACCATAAAGAAGGGGGAAAAAAAAAAATGTCACCATGTTTTGTGCAATTAATTTTATTTTTGTATTGGTGTTGATGATTCTGCAGGATGTGGGCAGGTGGTGCATGCACAGCAATATCTATTTGGCTCAACAACATGTATGCAATGTTCAAAAATGGGGAGGATCTTCCTCAATTGGCAACTGTTGTTGTAGTGTAAGTTCTTTCTTCCTAATTATTATTCTTCCTTCAACTCTCTCTTGGTTAGTAATGTTGCTTGTCTAAATATAAAACCTGATCCATTGCAATTGCACCATCCTATGGGAATGGTTGTTTTAATTATTTCCTCAAAAACTTCTCAAATCAATTTGAAGATACTTGCTTTGGTTTACGAATAACAATGATATATTTGTCTGTTAACCAGACGAGGGCAGATGGAGAAGAGCTCAATAACAAGGGACTTCCCTATTGCAAAGGCTACCTATCCTTTTCTGAAAGATAATGTATCATCATCCTTTTGCTTCCCTGGGTGGAACAAGGGGCGAATCATCTGTCAGCGGCCTCAGCTTAAGAGGATTTTGTCAGCTACAGAACGATCTTCAGAAGGGTCTGAAAATGATAAGTTAATAACTTTAATTAACTCTCCCTTTACCCTTTTGGGGACAAGAACACCCCCAAGTGATGTTAGTGGAGATCAGCATGGAAGTGCTGATAGTGAATCAAGAATTAGAATGACTACAGAGCTTATGACAAGCATGGTTTAATAATAGATTAAACAAAACCTATAGAGCAGCTTTCAGGGCTGGCTGTTCTGGCTAGGAGATCATGGCAATTTAATTGAAAGGAACTGAGGATTGAAGGATTGCATTCAGTTGGCTTCCAGCCTGCCAATATGTTAAAGATAGCCAAGTAGCAGATATAATGCCTAGTTGAGGCAGTTGCCTACTAGTTTGGTTGAAGCCCCAATTTTGTTCTCTGGCTTTACCAATAGGGAGTTGAGCAGAGGTGAGGATTTTATATGTTTTCCCTTCCCAAAATGGTTGATTTTTTTTAAAAATCAAATGTACATGTATATCTTGTTTTCAACATTTTTTACTAATTTATTGAGAAATGTTAATTGGTAGATCTGCTTCATATTTCATAAGGTGAATGAAATATACATGCTTGCTTTTTTAAAATTGAGAATATATATACATATATATATATATATATATATTTCTGCTGGGTGAAGTGGGGTTAGAGGGTCCCTTATGTATTGTTTTCCTTGAGCTACTTGCGAGTTTGCAGGTATTTTAGTGACCACTGGTCTTATAGGGCAAAGACTGTCAAGTGCTACCCAGTTGGTCTCTCAATCATGACAACAGTTGGAGGTCTTTTTTTTTTTTTTTTTTTTTTTTTTTGGGGGGGGGTAAATTACAAAAACACTTTCTTTTACCTAAAATTATTCAAAGCAGATTGGCTTATGTGTGTTGGTAGCATACAATTTTTTTTAATATATTCCTGTTTTCCATGATTAATTAAATGTTGAGGATGCATGAAATTAATTAATTAATTGATTAGATATAGGTTTTAAAATTACAAACACACTTTCTGAAATTTGCTTAAAATGTGAATTATTTTATGTAGTTTTGAAAATTACATCTCGCCTCTTGAGATTTTTAGTTTCATAATAAATAGTTCTTTTTATTTATAAATTATCAAGTTAATTAATAGTTTTTAATTGATATTAAAAATCTATTTCAATTAATAATTTAAGTAATTTTATTATTGTATAGGAAAGCAGTTAAAAATTTTATTTAATTAATTTTGTTAAATAAAAAATTTTAATAGGGGTATTTGTAATTTTTCAAATTGTAGGAGGCAATTTGTATTTAAAACAAATCTCTAATGGTGTATTTGAAATTTACCATTTTTTTCTATGTAAATAATTGCCTGAAAATAAAAAAAAAAAACATAAAAGAATATATTAAGATTTCCTCACAGCAATTTTTGTGTCAAAACATCAGCTAGGTAGTTGCTTCAAGGCTATTTGGAGTAATTAAACTCCTGGACTTCCAGAAAGCAACGTAGAATCCTAAATTTTCTCCCAATTTTCATTCCTTTAATTTAAGAACAGATTGGCATTATAATTTGGAAGATTTAGGGCAAGTTTGGCGAGTTAAAAAAAAGTTAAAAAGTTAAAAAATTACTTAAAAAGTTAAAAAGTTATCACTATTTACCAAAAGTCAAAAAGTACAGCTGCACGACTCCCAATTCTAATTTTTCTCTATTCACTAATTTATACAATTTTTTAATACACATTTTTTCATAAAAAGTTAAAAAGTTAACCCAAACAATTATATTTTTTTTCTCAACTTTTTAGTCTAAAAAGTCAAAAAGTACACTTATTTAGGACATCTCAAACAACCACTTAGTTAAAATTCCCTCATAATAAAATTTTAATGTATTAAAGATAAATATAAAAAGTTTTCTGTAAAAAATCTAACAAATACCACTATTATCAAAATATTAAATTTTAAAATAATATAACTTTTCATCTACATGTCAGTTTTTAATAAAATTAATATTTTATAATCCTCTTATCAATATCTATCAAATAAGATTTATGTTGACTATGAAATTATTAAAAAAAAAAAAAATTATTACCGTCGAAATTGATGTAAACAGTAACGTGTTAACATATTACTCTATTTCACAGTAACATGTTACTTTGGTTCGCAGTAACATATTACTCTGGCAATATTGTCTAAGAAAAAAATATATATTTTGTCCTTACTCAATTATGCGCTTCCTTTTTAGGAAATTTGTGAAACAAAATAAATTGAGTTATTTTTTTTACCAAACTAGAATCCAGCGGAGAGATTTTAACTAAATTTCCTTTGGTTTGAGCATGTGGAAAGTATCTAAATGGCTATATGATGAAGAAAATGTCAAGAATTATTGTAGAATAAATTTTCTGATATGGAATCCCAAATTGCCAATTTATTTTAACTAAATTTCCTTTGGTTTGAGCATGTGGAAAGTATCTAAATGGCTATATGATGAAGAAAATGTCAAGAATTATTGTAGAATAAATTTTCTGATATGGAATCCCAAATTGCCAATAAATTGGCTGTGTTGTAAACATGAGCTGATCATCAATCAAGCAGATGGAGTCTATTTTACATGGACTACATTCAGGTGTGGCCGTCCAAATGTGGAGGTTATTTGGGGTGTCCTAAATAAATATACTTTTTGACTTTTTAGATTAAAAAGTTGAGGAAAAAAAAGATTGTTGTTTGGGTTAATTTTTTGATTTTTTATGAAAAAATGTGTACTAAACAATTGTATAAATTAGTGTGTAGGAGAAGATTAGGAGTGTGAGATGTACAACCGTACTATCTGCGCGGCTGAATGGATGCTAAGAAATGATTGGCTACTTTTCGGGCATTACATTGGACGGTACTGTTCGGCCCATGGGGGTCATCACGGGTTCCGTTTTGATAATCTGAATCGTTAATGTGTAGAACTCGTCGAATACTATATACTTATAAAAAATCACATTGATCAGATATCGATAGCTATCGGATCAGATTGGTTTTTTTTAATCGTTAATTATAACACCATCCATTTTTTGTATACAAAACTGATTTGATCATGTAATTAGCTATATTCGATCAATGTGATTTTTTTCAGACATATAGTACTCGGTGAATTCTACACATTGAACGGTTCAGATTATTAAAACGGGACCCGTGATGGACCTCCACGGGCTGAACAACAGTGTGTTAAAATTACACCCCAACTGTCTAATTTTTCTTAAGAAACGCAGGCATAGATTTGAACCGGTCAGATCTGTCTTGTAATTTTGTATGTAAAATTAACTTTTTAATATTTTTTTTTTGGTGAATAATGATAACTTTTTAATTTTTAATTTTTTTTTTAGACATATCAAACAAGGCCTAAATATTCAATCGGTTTTGGTTCGTAGCTCGAAATTTAGTGGCCCTAATGGCCCTAAATTTCCATATAAGGCAAAAAAAAAAAAACAAGGCAGAAAAAAAAAAGAAAAAAAAAACAGACTTATCCCAAAAAGAAAATTAGGGCCATTAGGGCCACTGTTTTTAGGGCCACAATTCATTTTCCATATTCAATTCATTTAAATCTAATTCTCATGTCCAAGAATACTAGGACATGACAAAGTAATCATATTTCTTAACATTACTTATTTTATTATTTTACCTACGTATTTTTAAAAGTAAAATGGAGCATTTCATACAAAATATGGGAATTTTATGCATAGTTTTATGTAAACTCGAATTACCAAATATCCTGTTGTTAGGTGATTGTCCAATTACACATACAGGCTTGGTTTGGAAAGTAGGTTGGCTTTTTGGCTTTTTGGCTTTTTTGGCTATTTTAGCCTGGGCTAAAAAGCTTGGTTTGGGAAGGGCTTTTTGGCTTTTTGGCTTTTTTGACTTTTTTTGTGAGAGAAGAATGTAATGATTATAGGTTGGATGTGATGTTTTGTTTGTTATGGCTAAAATAGCCTATTTTGTTTTTTGTGGCTAAAATAGCCAAAAAAGCCTGAAAACCATCTTGCCAAACAGAGGCACATTTGGAATAGTCTGTGTGACATACATGCCGCCATTGAGGGAGGTTAAACGTTCCATTTGAGGGAGAGGGATGTTCTTTTCATAAATAAATCTTCTTCCATGGTGATTGGGTAGATTCAATTGTGGCCTAGTTATGGAGTTAGCACTAGTGGGAATGAACAAGAAAAGATGGATTTTTTCCCCCCCCCCTTCTACTGGCACTTAAATGGATTTGAAAAGATCATATTTCCACTGGACTAAAGGGGAAGAAAGTGTAGATGAGCTAAGTTGTAGAATATGTAATCACAGAGGAGAAAACATTATTAAAAATCTACAACTTGCCGAGCATCTCTTATACTAGTACATAACTTACTATTATTATTATTATTATTGTTTTTTATGTATATCCTAACCTACTTTACAGGATTTTAGTCTCCTTTCTTTACATAATATACACACAAAGTAGGCTAGAAAGAAGAAAAAGTCTCATTTGCATCCCACCAAGGCTAGATATTATACTTATTAAACACATGAGTAATGATAATTCTAGTCTAGAACCTAGGTAGTGAAAATGATTGGGTTGGTTTAAGTCTTATTTAGTGTACGTTTGACATACTTTAAAAAAGTTAAAAAATAAAAAATTATTAAAAAATTCATCTTTTTACCTTATTTGGGTGGAAATGTATGTTTGAAAATTCAGACGGCAAAAAGACAGTTTTTCCCCTTCCAGTTGTGGCATCTCATCACCCTATCTATAAACACGTGGCACACGTTGGTCCATACAAAATTTGCAACAGTATGTAAAAAAAATTAAAAAAAAATACTTGAAATACAAAAGCTGCCAGGCACTGCAACTTTGTCGGAGGTCCACTCAAGGGTAGAAATGTAATTTTGCTTTTTGTTACAATATTTTATAATACATTTTCGTAAAAAGTTAAAAAGTTATCTCAAACATATATATATTTTTTCATACGTTTTTAACTAAAAAGTCAAAAAGTACACTTATTTTGAACATTCCAAACCAACCCAAGTGTTATGTTAAGATTACAAAGGTTTATTATTAGTTTAACAGCTATTTAACAACTCATCATGAAAAAAATATAGGGATTGTTTTTTATGCACTACTAATCTTGCAAGAAGTTCTACCAATATCACAGATGCAAAACATTTTGAGATTACCTTAACCTTATTTGCTCTTGATTTCTATGTGATAACTTTTGAGTTAATGACATTTGAGTGGCCAATTTGTCTTCTTTCTTTTAAATCCACTTTGATTTGATAAAAGGTTAGATTGCACTTCACATATGTGCTTAAGCATGCAATTCTTGACAAACCTGTGCCCATATATGTACACTGTGCTTGCCATTTTGTGCTTTTTGTTGTACCTTATTTGAAAAGTCTCTTTATTGCTACTCCAACTGGCTTTTATCTTTATTCACCTAGTATGCAGAGTTGATTGATCACTGTGTTTGTTACATTTTTAGAAATGTTATAAGTGCAGCACTTTGTAGGGTCAACATTCACTTGAGGTCTAATCAAAGATAAGAAAAT